GTCAATCAAGGGTATTTTGGACGCGGCGTATCGGAGCAAGGTTATCTCCGTTTTGCTGCGTTTCGGATTCTTGGGGTTACCGAGGCAGTACAGCCTGGCCGTCTTGGATGATCGGCTCCGATTTTGGCCACATTTCGGTTACGCTGATTTGGTTCAGTATCGTCGCGTCCGCCGCCTTTTTGGGTCTGTTCTTTTATTTCCTCAAGTGGAATAACAGTTATCGGAAGAGCTGTAAGTTTTTTTTAATAAATTTCTTGTATACAGTGAGAATATTAACACGTTTATTACTAATTTGTTGTTTGTCCTACTTGTCGAACTTAAGTATTCACCTACCTTCCTTAAAATATAAAAACTCGTGTTGAGTCAGAACCTGCAAAGGACCTGCATATATTCAAAATTTTACCTTTATGAGTCGATTACGCGTTTCTCTGCAAATGTATTGTTCTATTATTGTTTTGTAAGTAACATAAATTATGCAATTTTGGAATCTCCCTGTAACCATACTAGTTGCAAAGATGAAAATGAACTACATTGATTAACATTAACCTTAAAAATTATTTTATTTTATGTATCAAATGAGCCGATATACATCAATTAAAGATAAAGGTTTTTTTATATCTACAAATCATAAAAATATAAATTTTATTGGTAGGTGCGCTGCCCATATATTTTTATAGTAGTGGTAAATGAGCAGCTCGACACATATGTACTGATGATATCCAAATATCCTTTCTCGGTACATTCGAAAGACCAATTTGCATTTACCTTTAACAGAAATATTTCACATTTATGGTTAAAGCAAAGAGAATTGACATAAGACACAGCGTGAGATATAGGATTTATTTGTTAATAAATCCTGTATCAAAATCTCTCAGATCACGAAATAGCCCCCAGTAAACAGCTATTATTGTGAAACATTTAGTAAATTTCAAGACAATTATTGTTTTCCAGTTTTTAAATAAATAAAATAAAAAGGAACCGATTTTGTAGTACGAAGATAGTGGTAAATTTTAGCTCGAATTTTAGTAATTATGAATCTCTTCAAACAGGAACTTAACTTTTAATCAAATTACGTATTTGGAAAATATGTAATTAAAGTACCGAAAGATTCACATCGTCCAAATAATCATACGTATTAAAAATAATTTAGGTACTTACTAAAAAGCCAAATTCAGTATCAGTTATTTGTTAATAATATTTTAAAGTGACGTCTAAGACTATTTTTTTTATTTTATTATTTAAAGAAACTGTTGTAGGTGGCACAGTTTTTTTAAATCATCCTCTTTGAAGGTGATTCTTAGAATAACAATTGTTTATACGTATTTTGACATATTATTTCTTCAGTCATTGGTTTCACTTTTCCGTTTGTTTCTCAATATTAAATATTTTATTCTGTATTAATTTGTTTGAAAAACTTAACCATTTCACATACATAATGAATCCATAAGGAGCCATTTTTCTCAAAAACCAAACATTTCATTTAAAAATATTAAGTGACCTTGTTGCTGTAGAATAAACCGTAATGTAAAAAAAATATTCATTTTGAAAAATTTGGCGTAGAAATTATATTAGAAGTAGGGGTAATCAGAGCCCCTTACGGACGCCTATGATTGACCTATTTTCACAATAATTTGTAAAATCGATAGAGCTTTTCATTCGTACACTTCAAACTAAAAATAAAACAAATGGCTTTTACAATTTAAGAAAAAAATAAATAAAAACCAAAAACATTTTTTTCCAATATCTTGTATCTCTAAAAGGAAACCTTTGGAAGAAAAAGTGTATACTTGAAAATAACATTATTTTGACGAGATCTATCGATGGTTAAAGTCCTAATCATAAAAAGTGAATCACCCTGTATAATGAATAATAAAAATCTATTGAATTCAGATCGAGACTTCCAGGAGATATTATAAATACCAAGTACGATGTTAAAATAATTCAAAAATAATTCAGTAACGGGAGTCTCCATCTGAATTCAATGAATTTTAATTAATTATCCCCTGCTAATCAACTTCTAAATGTATAAACCAACTAACTGATATGAAACGAAGTAATTGTTTTTTTTTGTAAAACAATTGAAACTTCACATCTATGGTTTTGGATTTTCTAACAATATCGCTTATAATTAGTGATATTCTTTGGTATTAACAAAAATTAGGTTCTTTGCTCGTGGTTAATGTTAAAATAAAAAAAAATTAACAACCTATATGTAAAATCAAGCAACTATTATAGTAATATTTTTTAGAGTTTGGGGAAAACCAAGAATTTTTATAATGACGTTTTCTGACAAATTTACAAATAAGAAAGTTTTCCATCTCTAGGATACAATCGTGGGGCACAATCACAACAATACGTGGGTACTAACGAAATTTTATAAATTGTTACTCTAGATTTGCTGTTACAGTAGCACTTAAAAATGGGGTGCCTCTACAGGTAACTCGTGTAAAATGCAACAAAAAGTCACTTTTTATGAAGAATTAGATAGAATAATGTTGGTTTATGTTGAATCGCACATTCTTGACCCTGTGCAGATCGGTATATCTTGGTTATTATACCAGTTACTTGACCCGTTGACCCCGCACACNTATTGTTCTATTATTGTTTTGTAAGTAACATAAATTATGCAATTTTGGAATCTCCCTGTAACCATACTAGTTGCAAAGATGAAAATGAACTACATTGATTAACATTAACCTTAAAAATTATTTTATTTTATGTATCAAATGAGCCGATATACATCAATTAAAGATAAAGGTTTTTTTATATCTACAAATCATAAAAATATAAATTTTATTGGTAGGTGCGCTGCCCATATATTTTTATAGTAGTGGTAAATGAGCAGCTCGACACATATGTACTGATGATATCCAAATATCCTTTCTCGGTACATTCGAAAGACCAATTTGCATTTACCTTTAACAGAAATATTTCACATTTATGGTTAAAGCAAAGAGAATTGACATAAGACACAGCGTGAGATATAGGATTTATTTGTTAATAAATCCTGTATCAAAATCTCTCAGATCACGAAATAGCCCCCAGTAAACAGCTATTATTGTGAAACATTTAGTAAATTTCAAGACAATTATTGTTTTCCAGTTTTTAAATAAATAAAATAAAAAGGAACCGATTTTGTAGTACGAAGATAGTGGTAAATTTTAGCTCGAATTTTAGTAATTATGAATCTCTTCAAACAGGAACTTAACTTTTAATCAAATTACGTATTTGGAAAATATGTAATTAAAGTACCGAAAGATTCACATCGTCCAAATAATCATACGTATTAAAAATAATTTAGGTACTTACTAAAAAGCCAAATTCAGTATCAGTTATTTGTTAATAATATTTTAAAGTGACGTCTAAGACTATTTTTTTTATTTTATTATTTAAAGAAACTGTTGTAGGTGGCACAGTTTTTTTAAATCATCCTCTTTGAAGGTGATTCTTAGAATAACAATTGTTTATACGTATTTTGACATATTATTTCTTCAGTCATTGGTTTCACTTTTCCGTTTGTTTCTCAATATTAAATATTTTATTCTGTATTAATTTGTTTGAAAAACTTAACCATTTCACATACATAATGAATCCATAAGGAGCCATTTTTCTCAAAAACCAAACATTTCATTTAAAAATATTAAGTGACCTTGTTGCTGTAGAATAAACCGTAATGTAAAAAAAATATTCATTTTGAAAAATTTGGCGTAGAAATTATATTAGAAGTAGGGGTAATCAGAGCCCCTTACGGACGCCTATGATTGACCTATTTTCACAATAATTTGTAAAATCGATAGAGCTTTTCATTCGTACACTTCAAACTAAAAATAAAACAAATGGCTTTTACAATTTAAGAAAAAAATAAATAAAAACCAAAAACATTTTTTTCCAATATCTTGTATCTCTAAAAGGAAACCTTTGGAAGAAAAAGTGTATACTTGAAAATAACATTATTTTGACGAGATCTATCGATGGTTAAAGTCCTAATCATAAAAAGTGAATCACCCTGTATAATGAATAATAAAAATCTATTGAATTCAGATCGAGACTTCCAGGAGATATTATAAATACCAAGTACGATGTTAAAATAATTCAAAAATAATTCAGTAACGGGAGTCTCCATCTGAATTCAATGAATTTTAATTAATTATCCCCTGCTAATCAACTTCTAAATGTATAAACCAACTAACTGATATGAAACGAAGTAATTGTTTTTTTTTGTAAAACAATTGAAACTTCACATCTATGGTTTTGGATTTTCTAACAATATCGCTTATAATTAGTGATATTCTTTGGTATTAACAAAAATTAGGTTCTTTGCTCGTGGTTAATGTTAAAATAAAAAAAAATTAACAACCTATATGTAAAATCAAGCAACTATTATAGTAATATTTTTTAGAGTTTGGGGAAAACCAAGAATTTTTATAATGACGTTTTCTGATAAATTTACAAATAAGAAAGTTTTCCATCTCTAGGATACAATCGTGGGGCACAATCACAACAATACGTGGGTACTAACGAAATTTTATAAATTGTTACTCTAGATTTGCTGTTACAATAGCACTTAAAAATGGGGTGCCTCTACAGGTAACTCGTGTAAAATGCAACAAAAAGTCACTTTTTATGAAGAATTAGATAGAATAATGTTGGTTTATGTTGAATCGCACATTCTTGACCCTGTGCAGATCGGTATATCTTGGTTATTATACCAGTTACTTGACCCGTTGACCCCGCACACAATCATTACATGAACGTCAAAATCACGGAAGGTCGCTCATCGTACACACAACCACCGGCTGTTACATATAAAAACCAATGTTAGTCTGTGGAACTTACAGATTATTCCGATACCATTCGATCGATAAAGCTCACATTAGTTTGGAAAGTAGCAATTTTCAGTAGTAGTGGTGCTGAAAATAAAAAGCTAAATAGCCGCAAATTAAAAAAAAACACTACGGGTTCACGCGTTCCATAGCATTGACGTTCTTTCGTTTTTCCAGTTGTCAGATCCTCCAAGTCCGATGGTTCACAGTTGGGACTGAATGAGATCGCAGCAACCACAAGAGAGAACGAAGAAATGGCGGAGACTAATGAGATAAAAGAGAACGGGCAATGGATATTAGGTAAGTCCGGATAGCTCCAATATATTTCTCTCTACGTTCTGCGCGTCATTATCGATAATAATATTGATTGCCATGGGGTACTTAGGAGTAGGAGGTATATAACTTTGAATGGGGGTGAAAGATTTACTTTTGAGCTTTAAAAAGTTTTAAAAGTTTGTTTTCTCAAATTCTGGAATCAAAAGATTCAGAATAGTTTTGTATTTACGTCGAAAGCTCAAGTAAAAACATACTTTGATTATTGTTTTTTTCTAGTCATAGAGAGCTGATATTTTGTTGTTTAGTTTTGAAAAATGCGATTAATTTATATGAGTTTAAATTAAATATTATGCTTATTTACCTTTTGTTAATTTGTCCTTAAGCTGGACTAATTTGAGATTTCAAGGCAGCTAAAACATAAAAGAAATATGTTACTTTCTAATTCATTCACATGGGGAACACATACTAGGTAGTATCCCTAAAAAACCGACTCCTCACTTAAAGTCACATCCTGTACTCTTCTCTACGGCTGTGGACAAAAAAATATTTCCACCTTGAAACGTTCAAAGAGGCTTAGAAAATTGAACTGACAAGCTTGGCCAACAGCAGTTTAGGTTGGAAACTTCTTACTGTCCACGGCTGTACGATACGCTTCGGCGTTTTGTCGCTGAAATATTTTAATGTGTGCCCAAATAGTCCAGGAAATATAGAGTTGGACGCGACTTTTTGTTTCGGCAAGCTGAATTTATCACTATAGATGCTACATATTACGTTAATAACATATCAGTTTCCACAGTCATAAAATTGGGGGGAAGATTGTTTACATGGTGGTTAATTGTATAACTTTTACGTAAATTCACGTTTTTCGCTTATAACTTTTTTCCGTTCATTTCCACGAGAAAACAGTAAAGTACTTTTTTTATATTCAAAAGACCTACAAAACTAGCCTTCGAGCATCAAAAAATATTGATTAGATCAAAAGTTATAAACAGAAGAAATTTATTTATGACTTGAATTAAACATTTATAAATTGCGTTATTATTACCAGAACGTTTTGGCATCGTATCCTCTCATTCCATATCACTGTCTAATAACTCACACGAAATCGGTAATTTGAATAGTTTACAAGTTATGGCCTTATAAACAAATTAACTAATTATTAGTCTGGACGATCCCAAGCATCTTCCACAATCGCACTGATTTTTTTCGTGGTAGATTTCATAATAATACATTGAAATCTATCATTTTTTTGTTTTAAATTTCAAATTTGTAACCTGGAAAGTTTTTTATTTTTTAGCCTTAGTTGAAAAGTGAAATATACAACGCACGCGCGTGATATAGTTTATATTATTACATATTCGGAAAGCTTATGAAAAGAGTTTTATGTTAAAAAAATCGTCAATGGAGTTACAGACTGTCAAATATATTATTTTCAAGCGAATTTCGCTTTTTTAACGGCACAACTATGAATATTATCGTCATTTTCTTCAGACTCGCTGTCATTTGCTTCTCTCTACCCTTCCGCCGTGCCACGGCTCGCCGAAAATCAAGCGACCCACTGACTTTTGACAATATTTCTTATGCACTTAATATACTTCCACAAATAAAATATTTTTATCTGAGAAAGTACTCAGGTTGCCGGTTATGACAGTATTTTTTTTACCGCTACCAACTTAATTTGTTTAACAATAGGCCGTCAACTTTGACAGTCCGTAACTCTGTTGTTTTTCAAGGAATCTTGACGATTTTTTTTAACTTATAGCTCTTTTCGTAAGCTTCCCGAATATACGAGTATAACTATATCACGCGCGTGCGTCGTATATTTCATTTTACAACTAGGGCTAAAAAATTCCAGGTTGCAAATTTGAAATTAAAAAAAAATTACAGATTTCAATATATTATGAAATCTACCATGAAAAAAATCAGTGCGATTGTGGAAGATGCTCGGGATCGTCCAGACTAATAATTAGTTAATTTAAGGCCATAACTTGTAAACTATTCAACTTACCGATTCCATATTTTGTGTGAGTTATTAGATAGTGATAAGGAATGAGAGGATGCGATGCCAAAACGGTCTGGTAATAATAACGCGGTTTATAAATGTTTAATTCAAAAGTCATAAATAAATTTCTTCTGTTTATAACTTTTGATCTAATCAATTTTTTTTTACGCTCGTGGGCTAGTTTTGTAGGTCTTTTGAAGACGAAAAAAAAAGTACTATACTGTTTTCTCGTGGAAATGAACGGAAAAAAGTTATAAGCGAAAAACGTGAGTTTACGTAAAAATTATACAATTAACCAGCCTTTAAACAATCTTCCCCCCATTCTTATGACTGTGGAAACTAATATGTTATTGAACATAATATTTAGCATCTATAGTGATAAATTCAGCTTGCCGAAACAAAAAGTCGCGAAATGGTCATTTTCCAGCTCTTTTTCCTGGCCTAATATTGCTTGTTTGATTTACTATGTATGTACTTGATCGCTAGCAACGAAATACTGCACATTCGAAAATTATGAAAAACGGACTAAAAAAGTATCTTGCTCCATCTAAGACGCAACATATTTGTTTGCTGTTTATTAATAATGTTTTCGATCTCGATTATTTACATATTATATTTGAGTATATTTGTCTGATTCCTAAAAAATAAATAAGCTTCGTCTTTCGCTTACGTCTAGTAAAGCTAAAATTAAATTTTATTATAATATCACGTTAAGTTCTTTAAAATGTAATGATTATTTCAGAGTTAATGTNACTATCGAACCGAATTGGATGAAATTTGGTGTGATGATTCTATGCACTAAGAAGTTTAATTGGGAAAAGTATGAAGATCCTAGGTATTATTCAAGTGTCTGAAAAAAATTGACAAATAAACTAGCATTTTTTGCAATTTTTTAAATGATTTTTCCGATTTTTGCAACAACAATAATTATTTTTTCGAATTGCAACTAACTCTATCTTGATCAAAATTTAATTACAAAACTTCTTTCCTCTCCCATTTTTGTCTAAAATGAATAGTTGCTAAGTTGTCGACGAGATATCCAAGAAAAAAATGATTTTTTTTTGTTATTTTTTTATACTTTTTTGTAATAACAATTAAGCCCATTTTTTTTTATTTGCATGGAAAAATTATCATTTCTGATGTTATTTAGAAGCCGTTAAAGCAAAAATCCCCGATCATATGCGTTTTACCCAAGTATACCCTTTGTAAGACAGATACCGCCTGGACTATTAGACATTAATAAGGAATGAGAGGATGCGATGCCAAAACGTTCTAGTACTAATAACGCAGTTTATAAATGTGTAAGTCGAAAGTCATAAATAAACTTCTTCTGTTTTATAACTTTTGATCTAATCAATATTTTTTTACGCTCGATTTTTTGACGCTTGTAGGTCTTTTGAAGACGGAAAAAAAAGTACTTTACTGTTTTCTCGTGGAAATGAACGGAAAAAAATTATAAGCGAAAAACGTGAATTTACGTAAAAATTATACAATTAACCACCCTGTAAACAATCTTCCCCCCATTTTTATGACTGTGGAAATTGACATGTTATTGTACATAATATTTAACATTTATAGTGATGAATTCAGCTTGCCGAAACAAAAAGTCGCGAAATGATCATTCCCCAGCTTATTTTCCTGGCCTACAAAATCGCCAAATCAAGTGTATGTTGCAGGCGACGAGGACAAGGAAGAGAAGTACGATGCCTTCGGCGACGACGGCGACAACGGCCCGCCGGCGGCCCCCTCTGACGGTCAGGGAGGCGTCACGGTGTTCTCCCCAGCGGCCATGGCTGCCCTGGCTGAAAAAAGACGTAGGCTCAAGTAAGTACACGCAAAATATCTACCGTTCTTCAGTGGCACATCTGTGAGTTGGAATTACGTTAAAAAAAAATGGGGATCTCACGAAAGAAATACTCACAGGGGATTTTTACCTTTATTTATACATATTGTATGTTCTATCATTTTGCGTTAAACGTATTTAAAGTATTTGAGAAAATGTGATATACATAATTATGTATTTTTAACTTGTACACCCGATATTACGCGTACCTTTTGATCCTTATTTGAAAATTTTTACAAATTGCTCCAACCCCGAAGTTACAGCCACCTAATAAAATAAAATTGTTTGTCTCCAGACATTCTTTGACGGGATTCTTAACGGTATTATAGAAATACAGGGTGTAACAAGTTTGATGGCCATTACTTCACATTAGATAGAATAAACAAAAAAGTTTGAAACTCTAAGATTCTAGTTTTTACATCTTTCGGTCGAAATTTTTTAGGAGCTACGGTTATCAAGCAATTCAAGAAATAACGCGACAACAAAATTTTTTTTATGATTTCCCGAGCACGGACATGGATTTTTTTTTTCAGCTAAGCCATTGCACGGACCAAATAGCTTGTTTATTCAGCTTTAATTTCCTTTTTTCAAAATTTCGATACGACCATTATTCGTCGAAATATCGGACTTTTAATGGAAAAGGATCCTTTTGATCTTCAATCATCGATATCTCGGCGTAAATGGTCGTACAGAGAATTGAAGAGCGGTTTCGAAAACTGGAATAAATTTCCTATAACATGCTGCCGCAACATTTCGGACTTTTTTTTTCATCTTTTACACGAATTTTAAAAAACCAGGAAAAAAGGGTAATTTATGTTTTTTTTTTAGAAAATTGGCGACTAAATTAGAAATATTCACGAAATGACTTTTACAGTTCCGATATACCCAGAAGAACCCTGTGAAGCTTCATCTTGATCTAGAGAACCGTTTCTTTGTTTCAAACAGTCAAACTTTTGAAAAAAATTAAAGGGTCACGATTTTTGAGCTTAAACACTTCATAATAATGATTAAAATGGAAAAAAATTTTTTTTTGAGGTTCTTACATTTATACCGGAAGCGTTTGAATTGATGAAAAAAATTATTTGTTTTAAATTTTCGAAATCTTTTTTCAGAAGAAAAAGGGTAGTTTTGAAAAAAACTGTTTTGTGATTACAGACTGCACAAAAATTAATTACAAATTTGTCTCAAAAAACAGTATGAATCTGGGTCGAAATCTGGTTTGGGCCATCAACTTTCATTTTAATTTGATTAAAAGTTGATGAACAGAGGCATAGGTCACAAAAGCCGAATCGTGCTGGAAACAATTGGATTTTGTTTTCTTCAATGTCCGGAAGGTTTAGCAAAAAAAAAAAAATTCGAAAATTTTTAGAAAATTTTTTTCATCAACTTAAAAGTTATTTGCGGTAAAAATGTGAGAAAACCTTAAAAAAAAAGTATTTTCCATTTTAATCATGATTATGAACTATTTAAGCTAAAAAAACGTGACACTTTAATTTTTTTCAAAAATTTGACTGTTTGAAACATCGCTACATCGGGATGAAACTTCACTGGGTTCTTCTGGGTATATCGAACTGTAAAAGTCATGCTTAACATTAGTCATTTCGTGAATATTTCTAATTTAGCCGTCAATTTTCTAAAAAAACATAAATTACCCTTTTTTCCTGTTTTTTTAAATTCGTGTAAAAGATGAAAAAAAAAATCCGAAAAGTTGCGGCAGCATGTTATAGGAAATTTATTACAGTTTTCGAAACTGCCCTTCAATTCTCTGTACGACCATTTGTCGCCGAGATATCGATGATTGAAGACAAAATTTCGCTGAAAAATGGTCGTATCGAAATTTTAAAAAAGGAAATTAAAGTTGAATAAACAGGCTATCTGGTCCATGCAATGGCATAGCTGAAAAAAAAATTTCCAAGTCCGTGAACTCGGAAAAAAAATAAAAAAATTTGCAAAATTTTTTTGTCGTGCTATTTCTTAGAATTGCATGATAACCGTAGCTCCTAAAAATTTTCGACCGAAAGATCTAAAAACTAGAACCTTAGAGCTTCAAAATGCTTTTTTTTAAATTCTCGATATGACCATTTTTCACTTAAATACAGTCTGTCAAAAATCAGGGAAAAATTTCGGAAATTCTTTTGACCCTTTAATTTTTTGCATTAGTGTATATTACAGTGGTGTAAGATTAACAGTTTTCAAAATACGGCGAGTATTAATTAATATTGGGGAGTTTCATCACAACGTGACAATAGTGCTGATGCACATCGCGTGAACACGCGGCAGACTTGTCCTACGGAAAAAATGTAAAGAGCTGTTATTGTGAAAGATTTAGTAAATTTCAAGACAATTGTTTTCCAGTTTTTAAATAAATAAAATAAAATGTATCGTTTTGTAGAACGATCATAGTGTTGTGCTTAAATTTTAACTCGAATTTTAGTAATTATCAAATCTCAAAACATGAACTTAACTTTTAATCAAATTATGAATTTGAAAAATATGTACCTAATTAAAGTAGGTAGGTACCCAAAGATTCACGTCGTCCAAATAATCATACGTATCAAAAATAATTTAGGTACTTACCAAAAAGCAAAATTCAGTAATTTTTAAACGCACAACTACAAAAATGTCCACCACCATTTTTGATGCACGCGCGACACCTTCGAATCCAATTTTCGCGCACTCGCTGGAAAACACCTCAAGAAAAGGAAATAGTGGTACGCAAAAAACACTCAGACACGATCCAATTCCAGATACCAACTGAATTGCGTATTGTTGGACACCTTAGTACCTCGTGTTAATAAGCCGCCGCGCCGTTGTCACATTGCTCGATATGAATTTTAAATTTATTACAACGCTAATTATTTTTTAAAATTAAGCATAAAGAAGTTCAAAAAAGTGATAAACATTGTATTTTATGGTATTCCATGCGCGCAGTTATGTCAATATTCTTTAATTAATCGAACTTTTGTACATCAAGTTGGAGATTTTGATAATTTTTTTTCTCGGAAATGGTTTAGTTTAGGACCCATGTCATATTTTTTTTCGTCTGTTAAAATTAAGACACTGAAACTTCTAACACCCCGTATGTTGTTGAATTTTCGCCGGACGTTTGTTTTACATTTTTTTAAAGATAATAAGGAAACCGTGTATAACGAAGAACGTACAACTTCAATGTTTATTAAAATTATGTTAATAATAATGCGAATATTCTACACACTTTCGAAGGTCGTCTATGTATCTTATAAAAATGTAATTCTTTCTACCGAAACGTTTTGTTTGGATCTTTCGTATGTTTTTGTAAAATAAAAATTTACTTGCCGATTGTGTACGTAATAAATAATATTGTTCCGAATAATCCGAATAAAGCAACGTAGACGTTAGGCAACACGCAATTCAAAGACTAGATTATATCGAAACCTTGTTTTTCTGTGACGGTCTTTCTTGTTTATTAAGTAAAAAAAGAAATGAAGATTATGTCTTTGATTTTATCAGAGGAATCAAAAACTTGATAAAAATTTATTGATATTAATATTGACTATATGAAAAACGTTGTGGTAAAATATTAATTAAAAAAAATATGCAACTCCGTTAATATTGAATTTTCAAAAAATTATTAAAACAGAGATCAAGATTACATTAAAGCGCAACATTCTTTTTCACCGGGTGCTGATTGGTGTAATTTTTCACAAGATTTTATTCAACCGATCAGCGAACGCGTTATCTCGGGCGTAGACGTAACGGTTTGTCATTGTTCATTGTAAACGAATGATTTATATTGGCGAGGGATTTTTGGTTGACAGTGCCCATCGTGCAATGTTGATTGTCTACTCGGCGTTCGCGTAACTTGTAACTATTTATGAAGGTGCCGTACTACTTACTACATAGTTACTTGAAGCCTTTATACGCAGTCCTCCTTATTTCATAAAAACTGTGTTTGAGTGATAATAACTATCTGTACAGGGGTAGGTTGTAAAGCGGAAAAGCTAATTTAAATTTCATTTTATACGTATCATTTATCTTTTTTAAAGTGTACTTAACCATGAATTAAATGGAATATTTTGGTCGTAAAAGTAAACAAAGGAAATACCACATTAGTACAAATATAGACATTAGGTAACAAATTAAGCACAGTAATTAACTTCAAGGTAAATGACTTTTAGTAATTGCCTTTTTACAGGCAATTGCAAAGTGACGAGAGGGTCGGTAGCGCGGAAAAATCTCGGTAATATAAAAATCTCGACCGAAGTCGCCTGTAAACGCAACAAAATAAACTTCAAACACAGATAATAATCATTTGTCCAGAGTAAGATGTTCGTCATTTCCCTTTTTTCTGTCTCCGAAAAATTAGAAAAAAAAAACGGAAATATTCTGAAAAATTGCAGATCGGATAAGATTTATGGTATAAAAGGTTATATCCACTACGTTTGCCAATACAATAATTACAATACAATGTATAATTTATATACAGTGTGTCCGCGAATGGGGTATCGCACTCTTGTAAACTTTGTTGATTTTTCGAGAAAATGTTATTCTGGATAAAACTACGTGATAAAACATACAGGGCGTTCAAAAAATTTCAAAATGTGATATGTGAGACTAAATTTAAAAACAAATCACAAATCCGGTAATTCACACATAAAAATTTTGAGAAACATGCTCAGACACGTTAATTAGTATTATAAGTTGCGCATTGTTCATTGAAAAATTCATATACAATACATTAAGATAAACAAAAAAACCTTATATGATATGGATCCTAAACTGAACCATTTCCGAGAAAAAAAATATCAAAAGCTCTAATTTGATGTACAAAAGTTCGATTAATTAAGGAATATTGACGTAACTGCGTGCATAGAATACCATAAAGTACAATTACACCAGGAAAATTAGTGAAAGTAAAAGAGAAACTCGAAAAAAGTCCTATCCGCGAGATTATAGTAAAATTGTCTAAAGGAACATAATACAAGACATCTCTCGTCTCGTG